GCGGTGTCCGTGGAGTGGATGCACTTCTCGGAGGGCACCAAAACGATACACCAACACCGATCCTGGCCCAGGAGCGGCCTGGGTCCAGGATCGGGGTATGTGCCTTCTTGCGCAGGGCAGGAGGGCGTATGGACCGATCCTGGGCCCAGGGTGATCCTGGGCCAGGATCGGTGTTGGTGTATAGTTGGTGCCTTCCTAACTTTCACGTTGGGTGCGCGAGTTTTACAGGCAGACCGAGGTATAAGTTCTAGGTCGGCTCGGGGAGGGTCCCCTAGTGTTCTTCATGCTTGTTGGATGTTTTTTATGCATCCTGGTGAGGGTACTCTTGGATGCTCTGTTGGTTTTGGCCGACGGAGGGCCTCATGTTCTTGAGGGATGTTTTTGTTGGACTAGGTCCGACTGTACCGCTGGGTTTCATCATGCCTGCTGATCCTCGATTCTACCTTGAGCGCCGTATGGCAGCGGCTCCATCGGCACCAGTAACCATCCCCTCTCCCTCCCGTCGCTGTCGTGGTCGCCCGCCGCTTCCATGGAGGTGATGTGGTCCACCCTGCACGGGGACACGGCGGAGGAGCGGAGCCGGCAACAGGTGGGACGCCCCTCTGCCCTCGTAAAACAGGGCTAGGATCGGGATAAATCTCTCCAGAGCGATCCGGAGCGCTCTCAGAGCGTTCCGGAACGCTCTGGAGCGGCCGCGGCGCCCAACACATCCTCCAAACCCGCCGATTCCCAGAGATTTCGAGTTATCCCGATCCGATGTTGTCCCGATCTTCGCGTCGTTTTAGCCCCCGACCTCGCTTCTCGTCGCCGGCGGTCGCTGCCGGTGCGGGGGGGGGAGAGGGAGAGTCGGGAGAGGGCCCGCCGAGACAACGGCGGCCCGCTCCGGGCGTGCCTCGCCCCGTTGCTGTGGGATCCCTCCCAGGACTCCCTCCTCCTCCTCCTCCTCCTCCTCCTCCTCCTCCTCCCTCCTCCTCCTCCTCCTCCTCCTCCTCTTCCTCCTCCTCCTCCTCCTCCTCCTCCTCCTCCTCCTAGGCGTCAAGCGCCGCGAGGGCCCCGTCTTTACACGCCTCACCGCACCCTCTTCCAAACTTTTACCTGCAGCGCGATGGCACCTCCTTCTTCTTGAGGAGCCCCTTCCTGCGACGTGGAGCACTGATGCAGCGCTGCCCCTCCCTTCTCACTCACAATGTTTGTTCTCTTGTGCAGCCAGGCAGAGCGCATGAAATTTCTATTGCGTACGCCAAGAAGGATATCGGTTTCATTACTGGCACACGAGTGCGCATGAAGATGACGGACACACCATGTTGTACTGTAGTTGATGACGCTGATAATGTGCTCAGTTGGGGATACAGCAGGGGAGCATTTACGAATGGACATGCAGGGGTGCAGATTCGCTTGAGGAAGGATCTTTTTCGCCCAAAGCATATCGTTGCTGTACATTCCCCACCAACCTCACTTCAAGGCCGCGGTGGTGCGATAGTTCTATGATCAGGCCGCTTTCATTTATTGGCATTTGTTCTGTATTTTCCTCCTCGTTCATCTAGTGTTAAGCAGAGAAGTGTATATGAGAAGACAGTGCAGGCTTTGATTCGGTGGATGACTGACGTAGCCAACACAGCCCCTGCGAGATGCTCCATTATCTTTGGTGGGGACCTCAATGACCATGCTGGAGTTCCCCATGCAGGCCATGTCTCCACGGACTTTGACCCGATCGGCCCGCTTTTCCCGAAACCTGAGAAGTACTGTATGCGGCAGATACGGGACTTTCTGGAACAATTTGGGCTTTGTCTGGCTAGTACTTATGTTGGTGGGGAGGATACTTACTTTGGGGCTAATTCTAGCACTCGTGTGGATTATCTTGGGATCCCAATGTCTTGGTTATCCTCTGTCACTCAGTGTAGGCGCCTTCAACGTCTTGGGCGCAGGCTCCAAATGCTTCCGACGGTTAGGCGATGGGATCACTGGCCCCTCCAGATCCAAGTCCATTATGTCCTTAGCTTTCCCCGAGGTCAAGTCACTAAAGCTGAATCTTGGGATGTCGATCGGCTGGTTGACGGTTGTGTGCATGGCCTCTGGAGGTTTCAGTTCTTGGGCGATGTTGAACGAATTTGCTATGAGCGTTATCCCACTTGGGTACAGCTGGAGGCCCGAGCTACCCCCGATCGTGCTTGGGAAGCGTTTGTCCAGGACATCAAAGAAGTTGGGCTCCCCTACTTCGCCCGACACATTCAGGGGGATTCTGATAGGCTGCAGCGCCAGGCACGGCAACGTGAGCTCCTCCAACGGCGCTTTGCTTTACGCGAGAGGCTCGCTCAGTTGCCAGCAGTGCTCATTGCCGAGCCGCCAGAGTTCCGTGAGCTGACGGCGACCCAGCACGCCTTGTTCTCTCTCACGCGTCAGCTCAAAGCTGAGCGAGACGCTACTCGCGGGCAACACGCAGCCCAACTCGCAGGACTTATCAAGGAGGCATGGGAGGAGTCGAAGTGGTCACTCGTTCATCGGCTGCGTCGTCGCCTGGCGTGCACTACTGCGGGACCAGGGCGCCGTTTTTTTTTCTTTTTCGGAAAAATAATAATTAAAAAATCAGGCGCTGTGGACCACTCATCTTGGCCAGCCAGGCCCTGCAGGCGGTCAGTCAGCTATTCCAGTGCAGCTTAGTGAGATCCCAGAGGGCCGACAGGCACCTGGTTCTGGACGTCGGTTTTACAATCCTGGTTTTCAAGATGATGCCGAATCGGACCTCCAGGGAACCTCTAGCGCGTTCCTTCGTATGGCTTATCGGAAAAGTTCCCCACCCTGGAGCCTACCCATGGAGATTTTTTCGGATGATTTTCTTACCGCATCATCGACACCCCCAGTACAAGGACGAGGCACGAGGATTTCAAGAAGCGAACCCGTCTATGGAATGGCTGTCTCGGAGAGTTCGGGGATTCTTATGGGATGTACGAGGTGGGGGGGCGAATTCCTATGGATTGGCATCGGTCTTGGGGCTGCAGTATTCCAAAGCCGACCACAACTATTTCTGGACTGAAGTCTGTTCGTTTAATACATCGGATGTGCCCTTTCAGTAAGGCATATGCGAAGTATTTAGGCATCCGAGGCGATCAGTGTTACCCAGAGCGAGACTATTCGTGCCACCTGCACGGCGGAGTTCGGCACCGACGCCGAGAGTCTGCGATCAAGGTCCAGCTCATTGCGAGCTTTCGATTGGCCCGTCTCCGCAAGTCGCATAGCACACTCTTTTTTTGATCAGGCCAATGCCTTCGGCAGCATTCGCGCAGACATCCTGGGCGAAACTGACTACTTGCACATGCACCCCGAGGACGTGTTTTTCGGACATCACAGCAATCATTTTAGCACGGCTACTTTGGACGGGTCCGATGGGGCCGGCACGTTTCAAATTCCAGAAAGGGTTCTCCAGGGACATCAGTCTGCGCCCGTGAAATACATACGCAGCTACGACCGCAGTGTGCTAGTGCCTTGGCTAGAGGCGCGCAGAGCCAGACCAGGAGGATAGGACCTTATGTGCACGAGCCCCATGAATGACATTGAGGATTTTACGATTGACTTATCTACTACTGTATATCTTGATGATACTGTACACAAGGTCGTGGCCATCTCAGCCGAGGCGATGGATGACGAGACCCGTCATGCCACCAACAGTCTGGTTCAGCTGCTAGCACAGGCAGGCGGCGCTCTTAATTTTGACAAGCAGGTCACGGTACCGCGGTTCGTGGGGCCTGGCGTGTTTTTAAGGAGTCTCGTGCGTTTACTGACCCCCTTCGGGGTCTTCCAGGCACAGTGAGCACGCATGCGAAGTATCTCGGCGTTCAGTATGCAGGCACAGGTACAACAGCACAGCAACGACAGTCCATCCTCAAGAACATGCGCAGTGCGCGGCATTCTATGGGGCGGTTCTGGTTTGTCAAGCATGTTCCGTTGCGTATTCAACTTCTTGTGTTTCAAGCACGCGTGCAGTCAGCAGGTCTCAGCGGTCTTGAGGCGTTCATTCTCTCGCCCAGCGACTTTAACCTTGTCGACGGGCTGCTTCTCAAGCGGGGTCGCACGTTGCTCAAAGGGGCAGCCGTGCGGAAGATCCCGATGGCAGACGGCGCACTCAAGCACGTCGGCCTCCTCCCGCACCGAATTTGGGTCAAGCTTGGGCTGGTCCCGACGCAGCTGGAGCTTCGCATCCGACGATTGCACTGGCTACGACAGCTGGCGCGGCACCGCCGCGAGAATGTCCAGCTTGTGGCGGCTCTTTTCGGTCAAATGAGTGGGGAGGAGCGAGCCGCGGTTGAAAACTATACCCTTGTTCGAGATGGTGCTGGGCTCTGTACTGGGAACCCCTGGGCACTCCAGGCCTTCAATGACCTCAAAATGCTCTCGCTGGTTGAACGGGGCCCTGAGCTTCTCGGAGATCTTGGCCATATGCCCTTTCGCGTGTTCACGGAGGAGTTTGGGGTGCGATTTTCGGAACTCAACTTCGGCCAGCTTCGGAAACTGTCTTGGGAAGGACGTATTGATGAGAAGGGGGTTCGACGAGGACAAGGAGCGGGACAGGGAGCGCAGGACACTGGAGGAGAGGATATTTCTGACCCCGTTCCACTTCCTCCCCCTCGTGTTTGGCGATGTCAAGAATCCCGTGATGATGGCAGCGTCTGTGGGTTTGAATTTTGCGATCAAGCGGCGTGGTATGCACATATGCGTTTCTGCGCTGAGGGCAGTCATGGGCACCGTGCTCTTTCTCAGCTCCCCACGGTTACCAATCAGTGCCCATGGTGTATGAGTACACACTCTACTGTTGCGATTTCTCGGCAGCATGTTCGGCGTCTGTTCTTACATCGTCGTTGCCAGTGCGACCGAAGCCCTGTGCATCATCCCGTGAAGTTGCCTGGCAGTTTCCAGTGTCCTGCTTGCAGTGTTGATCATCCGTCGCTTGAGGCTCTGCAGGTTCACGTTCGCTCTCACGTCGCCCTTCCCGACGCAACCCTTTCCTTCCTAGTCGATGGCGCGGGCCATGGAGGTGGCCCTTGTGGAGGTCGAGAAGGCGAAGAAGCGCCTGGCGGAGCCTTCAGCGCAGCCCTTCTTCAGCGCTGGCGGCAGCGGCGAGCGGCGAGATCGCAGGGACAGGCGCACGGCGCCACCTGCGGCGGCAAAGGACACCCAGCATCCCGAGGGCGGCAGCGACACGGAGGACGACAGAGCCCAGGAGATGATGGAGGGATTCCTCAACACATCTCAGCGCCTTCGCGGAGTGGAAGGATGTCTGCTGACCACGCACCTCTTGCCGAAAGAGCACGTGCTGAACGGAGTTGCGGTGGCCGCGGCTCAACAATAGCAGGAGAAGACCGCAGGCAAGGGAGATCACGATCCAGGGCCCCCGAGTCTCCATGTCAGTTTGGCGGTGCTCAAGGCGATGTGCACCCTCGACGAACTCACCGCGAAGCAGGAGTACCAGAGCCATCTGAAGGCCTTGACAGGCCTGATTCAAGCAGTGACCGCCCAGCCCCTGCCAGTCGCATGCGAGACTCTCCAGTACTGGATGGCCAAAACGACCTTTCAGAGAGACGGAACCCCACAGCTGGTTCGTCACACGTTTTTTTGTGAACTCCTGGATCCAAGGGACAGGGGGTCTCATGACACCCATGAATGCAGTCATCGTCGCCCTTTTTCTTGCCCTCGGGAGCCAGCCGAAAATGGGGCCCCCCCCTCGCACGACGCAGGAACGCAGGGTACAGAACTCGCTCGAGAAAATGCTTCGAGGGGCCCGCCACAAGAAGTGGTAGATGAAGTCCCTGACGCCTCTCTCCGTCCTCCTGGGAGCTCCCCTTCGTCCCTCCCGCGTCCTCCTGGCACACTCGGATCTTTCTCTGAGCGAGGCCTGGTGCGGTTTCAAGGCGAGTGGGATCCCATTTTTAGGCCACGAGGTAAAGGGCGCTCTCGGGGCAAAGGCAAAGGCAAAGCAACGAGGCAAGGCAAACAATGATTTCGTCTTCGCTGGTGTCTCCTTTTTTGACGCGCGAGGGGTGCGCGTGGGCTTGTTGTTTCGAGAAACAGTAGTTTGTTCAAGTTTGAGGCGAGAGTTTGTTCTGTTTGAGTTTTGCCACGGCTCACCTGTCGTGAATGCCTGGCTGCCCGTCCCCTCTCTTCCTCCTGCTGCGTCACTCCGCGATCCGAGAGGATCTTCATGTTCTGATCAGTGCGTGCAGGCCTCTCGACCCTGCATCACACTTAGGGAGTCCCCATCTAAGTGTGGGGAAGGGGCTCCCGATACGTTTGACATCGGAGGGGTGCATAGAGTCTCCCTGACCGCCCTGCGGCCAAGCGGACCTGTTGACGCTGGGATCGAGGCCATATGCATATTGCCAGCCAGCCAGCCTCCTCCTCCTCCTCCTCCTCCTCGTCGCCACGGCGGCATCCGCTGTGGACAACGGGCCAGGGCGGGCCCCGGGAAGGGCCCGGGGGCCGATCTTGGAGGTTGTTTTTCTTTAGATCCAGGCAAGCTTACTTGCATGGCGTTCGCGCCCCCCCCCCCCCTCTCCCCCCTCGCCCCTCTTCGGTCGAACTCGAGCGTGCAGGCGCCCTTCGACTTGCGTGATCTCCGCGCGTCGAATCGTTTTCGGCCTGCCTCAGACTCAGCCCCCCCCCCCCGTCCATGCAAGTAAACTTGCCCGAATCCAAGGAAAAGCAGGCACCCAGGACGGGCCCCGGGAAGGGTCCGGGGGCCGATCTTGAGCGGAGTTGGGCTGGGCGGGGGCGCGCGAGCTGCTCTTCTTGACGCCCGAGCTGCTGCGGGGATGCGCGGTGGGCGATGCGAGCGAGATGTGGCGGCGACGCAGAGAGGCGGAGGCAGGGGGGGGGGGGGGGGGCAGGGGCGAAGACGGCGGAAAGAGCAGGGTAGGGGGGCCAGAGCGTCCCCACCGCCCCCTTCGGCGCACTCGACAATGTCACGGACTCGATGCGCCGTGCTTTTCAGGCTGGCCCAACCGCGGGTCACGATGGGGGTGCGAGAGCACAGGGCGGTCGCCAGATGCCTTATCTCCAGGGCGGTATTAGAGCCTCGTTCAAGTGGCGGCTGCACTGTTGCGGCACGAAAGCTGGATTGCCGGTTGAGGTGTGCACCCGGCCTCAGACTGCACGAAACAGCGACAAGTTTTGTAGAAGCAGCGCGCTGCTACTACATTCGGCACTGGACGGCTTTGCGAATATGATTTGCGCACCCCACGAAAAGCACTGGCCACAATCGTGGCGAGAATTGCTACGCCTATGGGCTGGTGGCCTTCTGCTTTCATCTCCACTCTGCGCGAGCGCAGAAGCAAATGCAGACTCGCGCACGGCCTTGCCACCTCAGCCAACGACTTCAGAATGTCGATCGAGGCGCGCGCGGCCAACTGAATCACCTCCACGGACAGCTTGTCGATGATGTTCTCGGGGTGCCCCTGGACCTGCCCAGAGACCCCCAGACTGCATGGGCCCTTCAGTGCCACGATCGGCTGCGCGTCAAGGTGCAGATCGGCCGACCAGGGAACAAGGGCCTGCGACGGCTTCATGGCGTCCATCTCCGCGCGGATGTGCGTCAAAAGCTTGCGGCATGGCGTGGCCGCTTCGGCGCCCGAGCCCCCCTCCTCAGCTGCGTGGGCCGCCGGGGCCGCGGGGCCCGCTGGGGCCGCCGCGCCAGCAGGTTTCGGGGCCCGTGCCAGAGCCGCTTCGGCAGGAGCTCCACCCCCTGCGTTGCTGGCGCTGCGGGCCTGCGGGGCAGCGAAGGGCCGCAAGAGGCTCTGCGGTGCCATCTGGACGTGTGCGGCGCGCTCTCCGAGTCTCCGAGTGGCGCCCTGCTGGAGGGGGAGCACTTTGGCGGCTCCCTGGGTGCTCCGAAAAACGACGCACGTGTCGTAGTCGGCGGGGCTTCCAAGCGCAGCCAGCACGGCTGCCTTGTCGGCCTCGCCGAGGTGGGACAGATCGTGCATGACCGAGGGGGTGGAGGCCGGGGCTGCGCGCTTCTGGCCGCTGGAGGGCATGGCCACGGGGCGCGGCGCCAGATGCTGCTTCATAATGCCAGTGAGCCAGTGGGCTCAGGCACGGACTGCTTTAGCTCGGCGTTCTCGTCGGCCATGTCCAAGCGTCGCTGCTTGCTCCACCCGTTCTCCGAGAGCATCGCGATCAAGTCGTCGATGGTGGCGCTCACGAGGCCCACGTCTGCTTGGGAGCCGCGGTGCATGGCAGACGGGCTGAGGAGGTGCGAGAGCTCCTGGAACTTGTGGAAGCAACCCCCATGGATAGGCAGAGCACGCCCGACCAGCTCGCCGTCCGACGGTTCCGTCAGATCGTTCACGACCGAGCTCACTTCCACCAGCTGCACACAGTGCGGGAGTTCTGGCGGACCTCGGCGTTGGCGTGGCAAGAGAGCCCGAGGTCATGAACCAACTCGGCTGCGCGTTCTCCTGCAGGGGACAAGGGCTGGCCTGTCAGCACGGGCGCGTCGCTCCCCACGTGCATCCAGCGAAACGTGCCGCTCTGGATGCACCAGCTTGAGTCGCGGAATGCGAAGCAGGTCTGCTTGCCGCCGTCCGCCGAAGCACCGCCGCCATTCGTGCGAGGGGCCGCGCCCGGTGCAGGCAGGCGACCCAGGGCGGCGACCCCGTTCAGAGCATCAGCCATGGCACACGCCACGGCGGATCCAGGCCGAGAGTACCAAAAAGAGGCGAACACCTAGAGAGGAACCAGGCTGCCAGCAAATAGCAGACACAAAACTCACCGCGGGTGTCGATGAGTCTCGGCGGGCGCGCGTCTAAGACAGGCGGAAAGGATGAGAGGGAGGACAAAAGCGAGACACACTAGCAGGGCTGCGGCCGCAGCAGCGGCCCAGGAGACAACGAAGAGGCAAACAGTACTTCGGTCGTCACGAACTCATCATCGGGGAATCAACTGCCACCTAACCATCGGCTTTACGACGCCATACTCACGGATCGACCCCTCGAATACGGACAGGTTAGAGAGCAAGTTGCGGGAAGGAAGTGGTAAAGGCACGTCGGATAGTGGCAAGTGTCAATATTAACCGTGAGTTAGCTCTAAGATGAAGCTAGTGTAGTGTCATAGCGCAGTGTTGAGGCCAACTGGCTATGATACTACGCTAACCATAGCGTAGTGTCACAGCGTGGTGTTGAAGACACCTGGGTATGACACTACGCTTCGGCGAGCGTCGTGTCGCTGCGTAGTGTTGGGGGCACCTGGGCGCGACACTACGCTGTGACAGCACGCTACGGGTAGCGACGTGTGGTAGCGTAGTGTTGGGGACACCTGGGCGTGACACTACGCGCTACGGTTAGCGCAGTGCCATAGCGTAGTGTTGGGGGCACCTCGGCGTGGCACTACGCAATGACACTACGCTGCGGTTAGCTTAGTGTCATAGCATAGTGTTGGGGGCACCTGGGCGTGACACTACGTTATGACAGCGCGCAACAGTTAGCGTGGTGTCATAGCGTAGTGTTGGGGGCTCCTGGCCGTGACACTTCGCCATGACAGCACGCTACGGTTAGCGTAGTGTCATAGCGTAGAGTCGGGGGCACTTCGGCGTGGCATTACGCTATGACACTACGCTACGGCTGATGCGGGGGATTAAAAATATATTGTTTTGCGCTTTCTCTTCCTTGGGTTTTTTTGCTTGAGGACACTACCATGCCGGAAGCGTAGTGTCATAGCGTAGTGTTGGGGGCATTTGGGCGTGACACTACGAAATGACACTACGCTACCGTGGGGGCGGGGGAGAAGGAATATGTTGTTGTTGTTGTTGTTGTCCATTTGCTTTCCTTCCCGGTTTGGCTCGATTCTGCTCCTTGAGAGAGGATCTTATGATACCGTTAGCGTACTGTCATAGCGTAGTGTTTGGAGCACCTAAGCGTGACCTTACGCTATGACACAACGTTGCGGTGGAGACGAGGGGGACTTTTTGGTTTTCGTTTGCTGTGCCTTAAGGTTGTCCTTGACTCTGCTCCGTGAGAGAGGACGCCGCGCTTCCGGTAGCGTAGCGTCATGGCGTAGTGTGGGGGGCACCTGGGCGTGACACTACGCCATGACACTACGCCTCGGTTGAGCGGGGGAAGAAGGAATCGTTATATATATATATATATATATATATATATATTCCCCCATAGGGTTTGCATGGCTCTGCTCCGTGAGAGAGCGGGCACTGCGATGCCCGAGGCGTAGTGTCATAGCGTGGCGTTGGGGGCGCCTGAGCGTGACACCGCGCTATGAGAGTACGCAACGGTTGAGCTTTGGGAGACGGAGTGTGTTTTTTTTTGTTCGTTTCCTTTTCCTCAAGGTCATGCGTGGCTCTGCTCCGTGAGAGGTTTCTTTTCTTTGGTTGGCGTTGTGTCATGTCGATGTGTTGGGGGCGCCCGGGCGTGACACTACGCTATGACACTGCGATGCGGTTGAGGCGGGGGGAGCAGAAAGAGTTGTTTGGCTTTGCTTTTCCTTGAGGTTCTACCTCGCTGGATTTTGCTCCGCGACAGAGACTTTAGCGCCGCGGTTAGCGTAGCGTCGTAGCATGTCGTTGAAGACACATGGGCGAAACAGTACGCAATGACACAGCGCTGCGGTTAGGGCAACGCCATGGCGTAGCACTGGGAGCACCTGGGCTTGACGCTACGCTATGGCACCTCGCTGCGATTAGCGTGAAGTTAGCGCAGTGTCATAGCGCAGTGTCAAGCTTCACGGCCAAGACCTACTCTCGATGATGGCGATGACTGGGTAGTGGTACTGGGACAGGCGTGCCGACTGCGCCCCGCAAGTTCGCGCCGTGCCGCCCAGAATCAGCACCGGCGCTTTCGCGCGCAATGCAAACGGCATTCCCCGCAACAGCAGTGGCGAACATCAGGTTTGCTGCATCTCGGCAGCGCGGTATACAGCGCGATGGAGTTCCGACGTCGCAATCGAGCACGCGAGCAATGAGGCCCAAAAGGTTGCCATACCTAGCCTGCTTACTGCCGAAGGAGCTTGCGGACAGAAGTCCAATGGCGGATTGCCCCCCCCGGTCGTCTCGAGCCCTGCGAAGTTTGCCCAGGCGGTTGTTCTGAAGTAGCTTTGGGGCCTCAAGATATGCAATCCCCCGAATGCTCCGCCACCAGGCTTCAGCAAACAGCATGGAGAACGCAGATCAATGCGCGGCCAGTCGGCCCATGCCAGAGCTCGCGGTACTCAGATGTAGACCCAACCAATCTGGCGAGCAAGCTCGTCAAAAGCCCTCGGTATCTCAGTTATGACGCTATGTCTTGGCAGTTGCGCGAAAAAGTTCTCGACGTCGTCGAAGTGCACGCGCAGAGGAGGTCCTGCAGAGTCGCCCCCGCTCCGAGGCCGCGCGCCGTAGAATCTGAAAGTCGCCTTCAGGTCCGCAAGCGACGTTGCCGCGAAGCCCTGGCAACAATGCCCCTGCACGAAGTCTAGACGCCGGCATGGAATGCCCAAAAAGTCGTCTCCAATGGTGTTGACGGTCAGATGCCAGGGGGCGAAAGTTCAGTAAGTCCGGCACTTCATCTTCACCCGCAGCGACAAACGATGTTTGTTGTTCTCTAAACCAGCTGCCAACTTACAAATTGTCAAACGGTAGAGGCAGTTCGATTTCTAGCGGGGGGGGGGGTCCGGGAATATCGAAAAAAACACATATGGAGCCCATGCCCCCCCCAACCCGAAATTCGGGTCTTCGGGTTGGGTTGGGGTGGTTTGGTAGGTAGTCAGTTCGGCCACGCGAAGACATCCCGATGGAAACGAGCCTGCTGTTCCACGGATGCATCCACGCACCCTGATCTCTCCATAATTGGCAGCAGCCTAGCGGCAATGCAAAGGGCGCAAGATGGCAAGTTCGCCCTTGGCAGGGCCCACGGGCCCACACGAGAAGGCAGAAATCTGAGAAGCCAATATGCGTGCAGTGTTGACACAAGGAAATTGCGCATGAGATTGACAGCCGATTGGGTCGTAGACCGGATCCGGTTCAGTTCCGAATCGTTTCCTTGCCCGAGGTTGCGCCGCAAAATCGACAGTGGGCGAGCGATTCCATGGGCAGCGCATTCAGGAAGCGGGCGGAAACGCGAAGTAGCTGTCCAGTGCGCGGGTAGGTCCGGAAGTGAACGAGCTTGGATACAGCTGAGAAGAGTGCACGCGTGGCCCTGCCCGCGAGGCAAGAAACTCTTTTCCGTCGAGTGCCATGGAAACTGCGTACGCGCGTCTTTCAGCACTTCCCGAGATCTCTCTGAAACCGCACGCAAAAGGGGGCGGAAATCGCTGCGACAGTAATTCTTAATACAGCGATTCCAGAAGAGCGGCGAGAGTGCAACCACGGCACCCGCTGCAGCCACTTCCGCATTGAAATCGCGACGCGGCAATGACACATAATGGGGCTGCGGAGCGTGACCGGGCGACGCGTGACGCAACTTGGCCCTGACACAGCATTGCTATCATGCAGGAAGGTCGCTAGTTCATGTTGACAGAACGCGACAAGCAAATGCAATCATGCGGGCTCGGACTCGATTGCTTCAAGACCGGATGGCGTCGACCACTTTCTGGTTCGGGATGCTTTTCTGCCGCGCTGGCGATCATGCTCGCGATTATCCTCGCGAGGCTACGCCAACAATTAGATTCGGGCTCGGCTAGCAGGAGAATGGCACCATGCCGGAAAATGTGTTCTCGTTGTCCTGCCACGCCGCCTCTCAAACGCATCAGCGGTCTGGATGAAGGAGCTTTGGATTGGATGAGTTCGGAAGGGGCGACATCGCCAGTTCCTGCCGCCAGCTACGATCCCGCGCTGGTTCAGGGACGGCTTAAATATGACAGTATGCTGAGCCTCTCGGAAAACCCTCTCGGCCCCGGTGGGCGCCGCCTGTTCCGTTCCCACGTTCGGTAATAATATATATATATATATATATATATATATATATATGCTACATGTAGATATTGCCATGCCAGATGTCCAGAGTTTCCAGCAGGAGTCCCCAGCTACCGTGTGTGATAACATTTTTGCTCCATGACTCTGCAGCCATTTCCAGCCGACGCACCTCTCTCAGATGTAAGATTGGGAACACCAGGGTACAACAACACCGTAGGTAATGGAAGACAATGACGGTGACCTTACTTTCTTTCAACACATCTTTAGCAACGCGAGCGCTGCTTGTCCGAAGTGGGCGCGCGACGGCGCGACGATATCCTTGTGACGCACCACCTTTTGCCCACTCAATGAACTTGATGACGTGCGATATCGGCGCATGGCGGCGGCCCGCATGCAGCGGCATCCTCTCGCGGTCTGAATGCAGCATCTGCCTCCTGCACTGGGGCCTCGCGGGCACCGACGACGGGCTGGGGCCCGACGCCGGCCCCTCAGAGATGTCCCTCCTCAGCGGGGGCGTCTCGCCCGGGCTCGCCCCCTTGGACGGGGCGCCACCGCCCGTTCCACCCCCTGGCGTGACCCAGACCCCCTGCTACCTCCCCACTGGCGACGCCCGCTTCAGCGCCGACCGGAAGGCGGCCGGGCACATGTGCGACTACCGTACAAGCCCAACCTCCAGCGCATGGACGGCACTCGGCGCGACAGCAATATCCGCTCGTATCTTGCCCAGAACCGCCTGCAGGCGTACGCCAACGGGTTGGACTGCACATGGCTGCGCGGT